CCAACCCCAATCAATCTTGTCTTGCTTATTCCATTGACTTATGACTGTCAAACTATTGAAAATTAAATTCGTCCCAAGAACCGCCCAGTCGTATTCAAATCTCGATCCCCTTACTTCCCTTCCGTTACGCACCCCTCCCCCCCTCCCCTCTTCATTGAACTTACTATTTCTCGCGCACGCAATCCATAATGATGTATCTTGTACGTAGAAAGAACAAAATCGATAGACTTGCCACGAGGCGCCATACACACTCTTAATTGCCAGAGCCCCTATTCGAAGGCACTCTTCTCTCCAAGGGTCCCACCGAGCGTTTAACATTAATGAGTTCCTCTGAACAGTTACCGACGATGGAGACAAATCCTGTGCGGGCGCGAAGTCAAAGGCAGGTGTGGGTTGCCAGAGACCCGTCGGGTCGAATATACGAAGAGGATGTGCTTATTGCACCCGAAAGGCCTTTCAGGACTGTCGAGGACGATGTGCGCAGGGTGAGCAGGTGGGGGTACCTTGTGCCCGTCGCCAACGATTTTGGTCGGTGGTGATCGGAAAGGAGGGAGGGAAAGGGGGATGATGTTATGTATCCGCCGACGTTCAAAATAAAAGGCCCTTACCACACACGGCGGTGCTCGATTTTGCAAACCAGAAAAGGGAAATAAGGGAAGGGGAAAATATAAAATATAAAAAAAAAAGTTTGAATAGACTTTCAGCCTATCCCATCTACATCATAGTAGTGTGAAATTCGGGAAAGGGGGAAAAGGTTAAGCTGCCGAAGTCTGTCCATCCGAGTTTTGATCTGGAACTAGTCCGATTCGGGTAAGCAGACTGGAGTGTTCCGGGACCGCCGATTCGAAGTTTTGCTCCTTGTCACTGTTTCTTCCAATCCCTCCCCTTATTTCAGTCTAGGGAAGGTCCCGAATCCCTTGTGCGTCATTGAGATCGTTATTGGATACAGATTCGATTTCCCAATTTTAAGGTTCAATCTGTGTTGTTATCCCTACTTCCGTTCTTCTGTGTTTGTCGTAAATGTGGGTGTACACCGTACGTATTGGCACAGCGTGGAGCAACTGGCATACGTCCCAACGAAGAGGATTGGGCAAGGTATACGGGGAAAGGCGTATTGAGATCCGATACTCTGGCTCGATCTTGATGAGATTCACCAAACGTGCACACTTTCCAGCACAGCGACCGACACACCCATGATCGGGAGGAGAGAGCCCCACATGCAAGAGTTTCCTTCCTCTCATTGGGCTCGCAATTACGTTGCCTTGGTTTGCATATGATGTCCCGGAACGCTCAAAACGTATCAAAGCGACGGCGGAGACGGCTCGACACGGGTGCGGGTTCACGTCCATGAGCGACCAGCCGGAAATATGCGCGCCACATCTGGCATGGGTCACTCCCAATGCGCCGCAGGTGATTTCAAAACATGCGTCAATTCGGATTCCGAATCGAGAAAGCCGTCTTTAAACGCTCATAAAGTTGGGTAATCCGAGGTCGGCAAGGCGTAATCAGATATCGGACGAACCAGCACATTCACACCAGCACCTTGTCCACCACGACGTTGACTTGATTTGTCCTCGACAGTATCCGCCTTCATCTCTCAAATTCGTTGGTGAAATATGCCTTAGGAGCATTTAGCTTGTCTGTCAGGATAATCCCGAGGGAAAGGGCGGCGAACGTGGTCGACGGGCTCAACGACGGCGTCAGGGATTTTCATCTCCGAATTTGACGAGATAACCAAGCAAGTCATCAGCTTAAACGCCACACAGTCAATGAACGTTCATAAAACAATACCTCGAGCATTTCTCGATGAGCCCATGTCGAGCGGCGCGACACCACCTCCCGTTCGCCTCCAGGGACATTAGGAGCTCCACGAGGATAACATGCTATTGATTGAGGTAGTTCAAGTCCGAGTAACCCGTAGAACAAATTGTGACCCTATGTCGAACGAGGAGATGATCAAGTCGGGGTTGACAGAGGTCGAGTCTCCCCATGGGCGAGTGAAGGCTTCATGGCAACTTTATGCTAAAGGTGTGATTAGAAAATTCGACCTTGATTTTTAAATGTTAATCACATACCATACCCCTAATTTAGCTTGGATGATCGCAAGTGGCCAGCACCTGGATAGTAGCGATGCCACAACCCAGTCTTGCTAGAAAAACGCTTTTGAATAATAGTCTAATTTCGTTCGAGTCCACACCGGACTAAGCATGACTACAAAAGGGTACCAATCGACGACCTAGAGGGAAGAAGAGAACCAGGCATCCGGTCCCCATTTTAGTCGCAGCTTGCATACGACGTACCAATTTCTGCCTAAAATATCTCATTCAAGTTCTTTGAACCCTGTCATCGCTCGCTTTTGGTTGTGCAAGCGCCACACTTGGAGCTAGAGCAGATCAGCCAGGCCACTTGTAGGGCTCAGAATAAATGCTTTGAACCACTTTAATCCACCCACGAGAGCAGTTTGAGGCTTGGTAAGTAAGAGTGAATAATACGGTTGTAACGGCACTGAGTACACTCGATTGTGGCGACAGCACTATCTTCTGTACGACCTGTTTTTTGCATAGACGACATTTAAACTCCTTAATGAATGAAAGCAGTCAGATTTTTTGGGTTCAAAAGTTCTTGCATTGGTAAACTTTGTGTAGCCGCACTCCTGGACGATAAAGTCTGAGACGGAAGGTTTTTGTTAGCTCCCTGTCGAAATACACATTTCTAGTTTCATAATCAGTAAGTTGTCGCTTCTGTTGACAGTGCGCTAAGCGTTGAAAATTTCGCGGAACGAAGGATAACCAAAGGATAGCCGGTGATTGGTTCATCAATCACGTTCTCTTTTGAACCTCGACCTCATCGTTGGTGCCCAACACAAGGCCTTAACATAAATTCTAAATAAATTCTGGGTCACTCATGTCGCTCGTCAGAAGCCTTGCGACACGGCAATGCAGGACGGGGTTCGCCCGTACCATCTCAAATTCAGCAAAAGTCTCACTGGCACAACCTATGCCAACTGAGCCACCAGAAACTCCCAAAGCTAAACCACCTCTCATGAAAGAGTTCAAGATTTATCGTTGGGTACGTAGAACTTGTGTGCTCATTCCGGTCGAATTGGTTGCTAATATGGTCTTGTGATTGTGGCGGACTGTAGAATCCAGATGAACCAGAGAAAAAGCCAACTCTGCAATCGTATCAAGTAGATTTGAACCAGTGCGGCCCGATGGTGAGTTGCCTGTACACAAGAAAATTGTCTGGTCGAGGCCAAAACATCGGCCTACATAATGCGACACCTTTTTCGACTGGTCGCTGTATTGAAACTGGTTTGCTAATAAACTTCTATGACAGATATTGGACGCCCTGATCAAGATTAAGAACGAAATGGACCCCACCCTCACCTTTCGGCGGTCATGTCGTGAGGGCATTTGCGGATCATGCTCTATGAATATCGACGGGCAAAACACACTTGCATGCCTCTGCCGTATCGATAGAGATGGGTCCAAGAACACAAAGATTTATCCCTTGCCGGCTAGTGCGTTATGCCAAATGACGTCTACTGTTGAGCTGACCAGGAGATTTCGCACTAGTGTACGTTGTGAAGGATTTGGTCCCGGATCTTACTCTCTTCTTCAAGCAATACAAGTCGGTTGAACCGTACTTGAAGAACGATAATCCACCAGAGAAAGGCGAATATTTACAGAGCCCAGAGGACAGGAAGAAACTCAACGGTTTATACGAATGCATTTTGTGCGCCTGTTGCTCGACATCCTGCCCAAGTTACTGGTGGAACCAAGACGTCTATTTGGGACCGGCAGCTCTGTTGCATGCCTACCGCTGGATAGCTGACTCACGAGTGAGTGGACCACCATTGGTCTCAATACATGGCTCATTCTCTGTTTGCAGGACTCTTATGGTGCAGATAGGAGGGAGAAGCTTCAGAATACGTTCAGTCTGTACCGGTGTCACACCATTCTCAACTGTAGGTCTCCTCAATGCATCCGCACATTTGTAACTGACATCATCTTTAGGCAGTCGAACATGTCCCAAGGGATTGGAGCCCGGTACCGCTATAGCGAAGATCAAGTTGGAAATGGCTGCCGATTGAGCTACTCATATTTCTATTGTATTCGTAGGTAAATGCATGCGATTCATTATGAACACCAGGTTATTCTACAAATGAGAAGTTATCCGAGCATCAAATGCTGTAAGAAACAGTTTGAACAAGACCCAAGGGTTCATCCCAACCGTCTACTTGTCAATCTTCCGCTAACCATGCAATCACCATGAAGTTGACGTCCGGTATTGCAAACAGAGATTGATCACAACAGAGATTTCAAGATAGTCAAAGGGCTCGTCACATGAGACTACGAAACCACGAAATGACCATGGTGAGTCCACTATGCTATGCAGCGCAATGCATCACTTGACATTGGTACAGATACCAGAATACTGGATGGCATCTCAAATGAAGAGAGGACATGATGAGATCGGTAGCCAAAGACCGAAACAGCAGTGACCCGGTTCAATTACGGTGGCGACGCGGTTCTATCTATATAGGTCTGCCCTACAAGCCCAAGACAAGTACTGTAATTGTCGATGATCCATAATAAGGTCCTGTATCTCTTCATCGAAAGTGCTAGAATCACTTTGGCCTCATCTACGATCTGGTTGCCCAAGACTGCACCTGCGTTGCTTGTATGTCGACCAATTGGGAATACGAAATTGTATCTTCTCAGGATGCAGACTTAATCGGCACTCGGAGCTAACACTGAGCGTAGATTCCCTTGGGGATGAACGAGAGAAGCCTCGGTCCGTTCAAAGGACTGTCTCACGTTACACAGAGAAGGATCCAGCCAGACATTTCCCAATGCCGATGTAGGCGACGTACTTCAGATTCCAGATTGGCCTGGTCCACGAACCCTTGCGGTCACGCGTAAAGAACACATCCTACACAGATGGAACACACACACTAGCCCTCGTACCATCGATAATCTTCCTTGGTAAGGAAATGAAAGTCGTGATGGCCCAATCTATCTAATTCCCCGTGAAGGTCTGGTGCTGTCTGCTACATTCACTTGAGGTCAATCGATTCGGAGACCTTGTCAGTCAGGCATGTCTTCTAGTGAGCACCCATCACCTAGGACTCCGTGTGCTACTGTACCTAGCTGATAAACGAACTAAAACAGGGCTCGACGGTGTTCCCAATTGCATTTAGCGCAACCATGGTTGGTGTCAGAACATATACGGCCGTTATAAATCTGAAAAGGGTATCAAGTCTCCTCTGGATCTTATGATAATTTTCTATTCACTAACCCCTTTCACTGATGCAACCACAGAGCAAAGCATCTCCTTGATTATATACCTCAGGGCGGCGCGTACTTGTAGTACATATCTGTACGATTACTCCCAACTTCCTTCTTGCCAAAGTCGAGTGTGATTCTGGCCACTGCGGAGTATCTCGAATCAAGAAGCTGGACGACCAGGACGGTCAACAAACGCGTGCCATGCTCAACCGAAAGACGTGGTACAAGATAGCAAGAGAACTACCCAAGAGTACCGACGACCAATTTAACGGATACAGTTCTCAAACAGAGCGCTATCTCTATGACCCCCAGGCGTTATACCCAACAACTACGACGTAGGTCTTCGCAATTTTACCGTTGAAGACCTTAGCAGAAGATTCACTATCATCATCAATACATATTACCACGCGACTATTTCACCCTTCCTTGGACTGAATTCTCTCCTGCCAAACGAACTTTATTTCTCGCCCCACAATCCACCCAAGACCGCAGAGGCCATAGTCCACATCCTATCTCCCAGAACATATAGCTGCCGTTGGGAGTGGGTGCTTTCCGCTTTTGTCGCTTCACTTGCCTTGCTCGGGGTCACCCTCATCGGCATAATATGCGATAGGCAAGTGGTTTGCCCAGACATTTATGGATATGTCTCGAGCATGACAAGAGACGATGCGTATTTCCCTTTGCCACCCACTGGCTGTACATTGGAGGGTACCGAGCGAGCTGTACTGCTGAGGGATGTAGTAGTGCGGTTCGAAGACGTAGCTCCGAACAAGAAGATAGGTCACCTCGCTTTTATGATGGCAGGGTACAAGAAGCTAGCAGAGCAGTCGATCGACAGTCGTCTTCAGAGGACGAAGATATATTCGTAGACTTGACGGTAGTTTCATGGAAACCCCTGATGTAATTCCGTCTGTACTTGTCAATTCTAGATCATATTTATTAGTTTGCGCTTGGAATACACTATAAATGTACATACTATACTATTGGCAAGTTGTCACAGGGTTCCATAACCTCCTCAGACTGTTGAGGAGACTAGAGGAGTACTATTAGCCAAGATTAAGCGGATAAATCACTCTTTTTATACATCAATGGTTGAACTCTGGGGACGAAGAGGTTGTAAAGATGGGATAAACATAGGCCAGAACTCGACTATTACGGGAGACAAGTCCGAGCACCGTATATTATAAGAGACTATTGCTGGACTGTGGACGCAAGGCCGTGTCGGGATGGGAACTGAAGGAGGACAAGCAGTGAAGGGCCACCACGGCTTTTAATCCAGACGCCAACATTGAGGCATAAATCAACAATATTTGAACAAAACCTGCGGATTTATAACAACCTTCCACTTCCACTAACCATATAATAGACGCCTCAATATCGCGTACAGAGGAATATCAAAGAATCTGGTTCGGATAGCCATGCTGCATCCCCTACGCACTGCATAATTTAACACTGGTACAGACACCGAAATACTGGCTAGCCAGATCAAATCAAAGAAATCGCATAGGATGGGCCGAAGAACCCAGCGTCCGATTCAATTGCGGTAGCAGGGCAACACCAAACACATACTCAATATAACCTTGCATCCCCTCATCAAAAATGCTAGCACCACTTTGGATTCATCTACGACTTGGTTGCCCAAGACTACGCCTACCTTGCGTGCATGTCGACCAACTGGGAACACGCACCTCCTAAAGATGAAGCCTTGAAGTCCAGAAATCAGCAGTCGGAACCAACACGGAGCGCCGATTCCTTTGAAGATGAACTAGAGAAATCTCATTCTGATAGCAAGGATGCTCTCGGGCTACATGGAGACGGATCCAGTCAGACATTCACCAACGCCGATGTAGACGACATACTCCAGATCCCAGACTGGCCCGGTCCACAAACACTTGAGATCACGCGCAGGGAAAGCATTTTACGCAGATTAGGATATGCGTTAGCCCTCATACCACCGATAATCTTCCTTGGTAAGGAAATGAGACACGTGGTGGCCCGATCTATCTAACCTCCTGTAAAGGTCTAGTGCTATCTGCCATTGGACTACATTCACATGAAACCAACCGATTTGGAGAGCTCGTTAGTCAAGCGTGTCTTCTAGTGAGCAACCTCTAGAGTGCTATATGCTACTTGACTGATGAACAAACTAAAACAGGGCCCAACGGTGTTCCCAATTGCATTTAGCGCAATCATGGGTTGGTGTCTGAAGACATATGGTCGTTATAAATCCGAAAAAGGTGTCAAGTTGGGTGTGAGTATACTTTGGTTCCTTTGGTAAATTTCCATTCTCTGACCGTTTCGAAACTCTCCAGCACCTCGAGCGAGTAATAGGATCACAGACAGTATTTTCGTTCTTAAAATTTGCATTCGCTTTCAAGCAACTGGATCGACTGTGTATTGTCCTTGGTATACTATGGATCCTGTCTCCTCTTGGGGGGCAAGGTATACTGCGTATGCTCTCAATGAGGCAACTGACCGAAACAACCCCAGAAACTGCCTTTTATCTCGACTTATACGGCGAGTCTGACTACGGACCGGGCGCATATATGCGTAACCTGCCCAATGCACTCTACGTCTCCTCCATCTATGCACCAGTCGAAGTCAAGAACAGAACAACCGATTTATGGGGAGGTATCAAGATCCCTTCTCTCGAGTCTCTGAAGTTTGATCACAAGGATGACGACTGGGCAGTCGTTGGAAACGTCTCGACTTATGCCTCTCTACTTGGAATTCCAGTAAACTCGACGGCACTCAAAACAGCAGCAAAATATGCTTTTACGCTCAATGCGACCGCCTTTAACACTCAGTGTGGGGAACCCGAGCTTTTCAATATAGACCCCGATGATAGGAAAGAGCAGCTCGATTCGGCCATGTTTGCCCTCAAAACTCCATTCGTTGATGCAACAAATGAGCGCAATATCTCTTTGGTTACATACCTCAGGGCAGCGCGCGTACGTGTGATGCATAACTGCACGATCACTCCCAACTTCCTTCTTGCCAAGGTCGAGTGTGATTCTGGCCATTGCAGGGTATCTCGAATCAAGAAGCTTGCCGATCAGGACGGTCAACAAACGCGTGCCATGCTCAACCGAAAGACGTGGTACAAGATAGCAAGAGAACTACCCAAGAGTACCGACGACCAATTCAACGGATATGGTTCTCAAACGGAGCGCTATCTCTATGACCCACAAGCGTTATACCCAAACAACCACGACGTAGATCTTCGCAATGTTTCCGTTGCAGATCTCAGCAGCAGGTTCACTACTATCATCAATACATACTACCACGCCACGATCTCCCCTTCCCTCAGATTGAATTCTCTCGTACCCAGCGAACTCTATTTCTCACCCCACAATCCACCCAAGACCGCAGAGGCCATAGTCCATACCCTATCCCCCAAGACATATAACCGCCGGTGGGAGTGGGTGCTTTCCGCCTTTGTCGCTTCCCTTGCCTTGCTCGGGGTCACCATCACTGGCATAGTATATGATAGACGAGTGGTTTGCCCAGACATTTATGGATATGTCTCGAGCATGACAAGAGACAATCCATACTTTCCTTTGCCACCGACAGGCTGTACATTGGAGGGTACCGACCGAGCAGTGCTACTCAAAGATGTGGTTGTAAGGTTTGAAGATGTAGCCCCGAACAGGAAGATCGGTCACCTCGCCCTTACAATGGCGGGATACAAAAAGCCAACCGAGCAGCAGGCCGACTGTCTTCTCCGGAGAACAAAGATGTACTCCGGGTGTTCATGCATGCAATAAACCTTGAAGGCTGATTGAGGAGGATATTCAATATGTTTAATTCTGCATTCTTTTGGAAGTTTAGATTGTATTTCCTAGTTTGGATACCTTGTAGATATAGATAGACATACTTTTACCAACTCATTACTGGCAGCTCCTGAACTCATTTAACCTACTAAAGAGAGTAAACGGATAGCCCCAATGGAGTAATAGGGCGGTTGCCGTTGTGCGCATCAAGACTTCAGTCAGGGAGCAGCAATAGAGCCCCAGAATAGAGAATTCCGCATGCAACTGGTCGAGTACAAGACTTCATTTCAAAACGGTGATTACAGGAAACTTTGTGAAATCGATCAAACAAATGTGAACATAGACAGACAAATTGATGTAAAGAAATGATAACATCGAGGGATCACAAGTCCAAGTGCGAAGTATTATGTGATCCAGGTCTGATGCAATGTCCGGGATGGGTAAAAAAAAATGAAGCATTATATATAGTGGATGTGTAAACCGGTGCTGCCTCCGTGGGCAGATCCATTTACAGTAGCATAAAGCCATGTCGAAGGGGCGAGGGTTTGATTGTTCGATAGAGATGAGACCCTAAATTAGTCATGAGTATAGTGGAATACAACAAGTAGGGCCATAGCCTTACCAGTAATGATTTGTCCGGCCACATCTCCACGGTCAAAGGACGGGTTGCCTTTCTCGGTCTCATTTTCCATCGCACTATCCAACGATCTTCGTGAAGTTTGCTCCGCTTCGTCGCTAGCTTCGTTAGGAGCGGATGTGAAATAGTAGTCCGTGAAGGAGGACAAATCATCCTCTTGCTCCTGGACGAATGATGCCAACTTGGCTCTTGCCGATTTCCGGGGTGTGTAGTACTCAGGAGCCGAAGATATGCGGTTCTGGAGCCGTTTGAACGATTCACGTTTGGACTTTGGAGACTCGCGAGCACGGTCATTTTCCTTCATGGCTTTCAGTTGCCACTCCAATCCAGCTGGTGCCTTCCATCGCTTATAGTCAGAGATTCCTTCAACTGACTTCTGTCCCTCGAGTCCAACGTCCTGGGTGTACATTTCGTCCCAAATGGCTGCTTCGGCACCAGCATGAGCGTGTCTTTTGCGATAGGAGCGAATGAGGGACAGCAGTGGCGAGAATGAGAAAGATAATTAACGCCAGTGCAACAATCAAGGCTTGTATGTTCTTATTGAAGAGGATGCTCTCGGGGGAGGCACTGCTCGGCGCGTGCCATGGGGCATAGAGGGTGTGCATTGTCTCCTTGAGAAGGAGGTCAATAGTAGCATTAGGTGCATTTGGATAGTCGAGGACCTCGTCACTGAGAGACATAGAGGCTATCTGCTCAAGTCTCTGAGGAGCAGCTTGGGCGGGAACGGCAGTGACAGGCATCTCGGTCGACAAAGCAGCGTTTACGATGAATGAGAATCGGTTATTTATCGCTTGGGTGATAGAGGATGTGACTTTTGACTCGTACGTGTCCGAAAGAACGACAGGGGCGAGGATGGTCGATGATGGAACGAGTGTTTGTTTGGCACCTTGAGAGGAGGCTGCAGATAAGTATATAGGTGAGACAATGTACAATGCACAAAGCAAGCAAGGGCAGCCATACCTGTAGCCTCGGTGTGGGCCGCTGTGTCAAGGATAAGGATTTCCAGAAAACTGTCATCGAAAGAGCTATCGTGGACGCCTATAAAGAAGGTTACTGAAGGTCAAAAGTACGGTAAGCAAAGTGCAATACCAGGCGTGCCATTGCCTCCAGGTCCCGCAAAGTCGACATCATGCGCAAAGATGATAGAGTGGGTAGATTGCGCGTTGGTAGCGGTGATTTGGGTCGCAGTAACAGTGGTTTGAGTAATGTCTTGAGTCACGATGGGTCGCCCGACCCCGCCACAAGCCAGGATGACGAAAGTGATTGTGAGCACGCAGAGGGTAGTCATGAAAGAATGAGTGTGGGCCATGTCTGGTGGTCAAGAGTGAAGGGTTGCCTGGAGTGTGAATGTGGGCACGAAGGGGCGAGAGGCAAGAGAGTGATGCTTGCGATTAGCTGAAACGAGGCCACTTATATAGTCGATGCCACACCGACCTCGGACCGATTCCACCCTTCACCTGAGACACAAGCAAAATCACTTACACGACTGTTTTGCATCTCTGAGATATGTCTGGACGACGCCGGACCCATTTATGGGTGTTGTTCAGTGGCCATCGGCGAAAGCGTCGGCGATCGGAACTAAAGTGTAGGAACGAGATCAGTCTCCAATCGACAGTAACAATGCACGATATACGTACTATATGGTATCTTTTTTGAAGGATGCTGTTTATCGTCGGCGGTCAAGCACCCGAGAGGTCAAAGCAGGGGCCAAGTTCCACTGGCATGGAGTAGACGCTACTCACACCAAGCGATG